AGCCCGGCCTCCGCGCTCAGTTACTATCTTGGCCTTTAGCTCCGTCTTGGAGAACTTTCTCCAGCTCTTTCCAGGGAAATTCGTAGGGAGGGGCAGAATGGGCGCCCCGGGAGCTGCTGGGTCTCCACGTCCGCGCTGGCCTCTTCTCCCGGAGCCGAGGTTCCGCTCATCCCCCTGCGCCTTCCCCGTGGGCGACTGGACCCCGCCGCCGGCTCTCCACCTCCGCGCTCTGGCGCCCCGGCCGGGCTGTTACTTATGTGCTCTGCTCTTGGCCGCTGGGTCTTTTTTTTTCTTCCCAGTTTCATTGAGCCGTAATTAACACACAGTCACTGTATAAGTTCAAGGTATACAGCTTAATGACTTGGCTATCCTATACTGTGAAAGGAGTACCACAGTGTTAACATGCATCATCACCTGATGAAAAAATTTTTTCCTTGCGATACAAACTTAGTATCTACTCTCTTACCTTTCAGATAACCATACTGAAAGGTTAAGGTTGGTGGTGCTGCGGACAGGCTGCATAGCCATCTCGGATGGTGGATAAAGAAAATTTTAGTTTGAGGAAAGGGGGTGGGGGTGGGGATATCCAAAAGGAAGGGCTACAGGGCACTGAGTCAAAGGGTATTGGGTCCATGATGGCCGCAAAAATATACTTGGGCCAGTGAAACAAGGAAGGGCATAGAAGTAACAGGAGAGCCTCTCTGAGAAGTCAGAGAAGGGGGCCCTGGAGACAGGTTCAGGGGCTAAGCCGGGGAGGAGCTGCTGCTGCCCATTGCTCCCCTGGTTGCAAGTCTGGTTGGGCCCCCTGGAGGGAAGAAGGGGGAAGGACATGGCAGGCCCGGTCCTTTGTCTTGAGCATATTTATCTCTTTCTTGCTGGTGGAAATTTTAGGGGCGTTCTCAGAGGTGTCTCTCTCTGGGGGTGCTCTTCCAGGGTCATGGTCTCCGCTGATTGTTTGGTGCCAGGGCAGGGGCTCTTAGTCAATGCAACTGGGCCTGAGGCAGCCACAGCCTCACTTGTCTGGTTGGTGCCAGGGCAGGGGCGCTTAGTCAATGCAACTGGGCCTGAGGCAGCCACAGCCTCACTTGTCTGGTTTCGCTGCTTTTCTGGGCCTGGAGCTGAAACACTACCGAAGCTTAGATGTTATCTTCAGGGAGGAAATGCTCAGGGGTCTAAACTCCATGACCAGCAATTGCTGGGGGAGGAGAGGTTACCCTGGGGGGTTAAGGTTTCTTGTTTTCCTAGTTTTGCCCCTTGCTAGGCATCCCAGGCTTCCTGCCCTGGTGAGTTTCTGTACCCAAGTTTCCATACCTGGGTTCCTATACCTGGCTCATCTAACACATACAATGGTCATCATGTCCATTATATCCCTAGTACTTATTTTGTAACTGGAAGTTGGTACATTTTGACCCCCTTCATCCAATTTCCCCACCTCCTGTCACCCACCTGTCATAACCACAGATCTTATCTCTTTTGCCAGTTCAGGTTTTTCTGGTTTGTTTTCTTAGATTCCACATATAAGTGAGATCATACACTATTTGTCTTTCTCTGTCTTATTTCACTTAGCATTAATGCCCTCAAAGTCCTTCCATGTTTTTCCAAATGGTGCTTTCCTTCTTTGTCATGGCTGAATAATATTCCATTGTATATATACACCATGACTTCATCTATTCACCACCCATAGACACTTAGGTTATTTCAGTATCTTGGCTAGTGTAGGTAATGAAGCTTTGAACATGGAGTGCAGACATCTCTTTGACAGTATTTTCATTTCCTTCAGTTATATTCCCAAAAGTGGGATTGCTGGATCATATGGTGGTTCTATTTTTAATATTTTGAGGAACCTCCATACTGTTCTCCATAGTGGAAACTTACATTCCTATCAACAGATCACAACTGTTCCCTTTTCTCCACATCCTTGCCAGCACTTGTCTTTTTTACGATAGCCATTCTAACAGATGTGAAGTGATATATCATTGTGGATTTTTAAATATTTTGTCTATTTTTTTTTATTTTACTTACTGATTTGAGAGAAGGGATGGGAAAGAGAGAAACATCGATTTGTTGTTCCACTTATTTATGCATTCATTGGTTGATTCTTGTATGTGCCCTGACAGGATCAAACCTGCCCACAACCTTGGCGTTATCAGAACAACACTCTAACCAATGGAGCTATATGGCCAGAGCTCATAGTTTTGATTTGCATTTCCCTAATGATTAGTGAGGTTGAGCACCTTTTCACGTACATGTTGGTCATTCATATACCTTGTTTGGTAAAATGTCTGCTGAGGTCCTTTGCCCATTTTTAATTGGATTATTTTTCTTGCTGTTGTTTTTTTAACATACAAAGTGGGGAAAAGGTAGGCTTACAGTTGTTCATATGGGACATAATACAATAATTAATAAATAATACAAAAATAAGCTCTGGGTTTCATGTACTCACAACTGTAAACCTATTTTTTTCCCCACCCTGTATTTTGGATATTAACCCCTTATAGATACATGGTTTGCAAATATTTCTTCCCCATTCTGTAGGTTGTCTTTTTGTTTTGTTGATCATTTCTTTTGCTGTGCAGAAAGCAGCTTTTTAGTTTGATGTAGTTTATTTTTTATTTTGTTGCTTATGCCTTAGGTGTCATATCCAAAAAAACATTGCCAAGATCCAAGTCAAGGAGCTTTTTCCTGTGTTTTCATCTAGGAATTTTATCATTTCCAGTCTTACCCAAAATAAGAGTCTAATTTCATTCTTTTACATGTGAATATCCAGTTTTCCCAGCACCATTTATCGAATAGTCTTTTCTCTATTGAGTATTCTTGGCTCCCTTGTCAAATGTTCGTTGACTGTATATGGATGGCTTTATTTTAGGCTCTTGATTCTGTTCCATTGGTCAATGTGTCTGTTTTATGCCAGCACCTTACTGTTTGATTGTTTTAGCTTTACAATATAGCTTGAAATCAGGAAGTGTGATGCCTCCCTATTTGTTCTTCTTTCTCAGGCTTACTTTGGCTATTTGGGGTCTTTTGTGGTTTCACATAAATTTTACGATTGTTTTTTCTACTTATTTAAGAAATACCGTAGGAATCCAGTAGGGATGACATTGACTGTGTAGATGGCTTTGGGTACCTCTGACATTTTAACAATACTAATTCTCCCAGCCCATCAATGCGGGATAGCTTTCCATTTATTTGTGCCTTCTTCAGTTTCTTTTACCGATGTCTTATAGTTTTCAGTGTACAGAGCTTTCACCTCTCTAGTTAAATTTATTCTGAAGTATTTTATTTTTTTTATGCTATTGCAAATAGGATTGCTCTCTTTGTTTTCAGGTAACTCATGTTAGTGCTGGGCCTTTCTTTTTTTAAAAATGTTTTTATTGATTTTTAGAGAGCGAGGAAGGGAGGGAGAGAAACATCGATGTGAGAGGGAAACATCAGTCGGCTGCCTCCGGCACGCCCTCTATCGGGGATGAAGCTGGCAACCCGGGCACGTGCCCTAACCAGCAGCCTCCTGGTGCGTGGGATGATGCCTAACCGAGCCACACTGGCCAGGGTGCACTGGGTCTTTCTAAAACATGTTTTTGATCAAACTCTTCTAGTTTGAAAATTGTGCCTAAAACTGTTGTATTTCTGCTCAGAAAACTAAGTGGTTCTGCATGCCCAACTCAGGAGCAGATCCAGGATTTGTGGGACCCAATGCAGTCCTGGGAGACCTCTTTAAAAAGACAAAATCACAAAATTGCTAGGGTATTGGAAAGGCCCTGTGCAAGTGAGGGACCCTAAAGCTTAAGGTTCATTGGTTTCACAGTATGTCCACCTCTGCCTGGTGGCTCTTAAACTTTGGTGTGCTCAAATATAACCCAAGCGAGCTTGTTTAAAATGCAGATTCTCATAGAGTAGTCTGGTATGAAGCCCTAGAATCTCTTTTTAACAAGTTCTCCAGTAATTCTGCTCCTGTGCAGGTAACTGTGAGCCTTACAGTCCTAACTAACTTTTAATCAAGCTGGAATGCTGAGATCCTTACCCTCTTACCCCAGGATGCCTCTCCCACCTTGGTTCCCACCGCCTCCTGCGGTCACTCTGCATTCAGGCAGCAATTCTCAAACTTTGGTGGACATGAGAATTACTTGGAGAGCTCATGAGGAGGCTGGGCCCACTGACACCTGGGTCGTTGTCATTTTATCAAGTTCTCAGGTGATTCTGGTACCTACCAAAGCTTGAGAGCCACTCCACTAGGCTCTGGTCTAGTCTTCCTCCATCCTTCCCTTGCATGGGCCAGTCCTTGCTCCTGCCTGCCTCTTCCCCCACCCGGGATGTTCTTCTTCCTCTCCACCTCTAATCACGCTGACCCACAGCAAGTTAGTCCTTCCCTTAACCTCATTTTTATCACTCATCTGGCCCTAATCTCACATCCCACCTTCCCCAGACTGAATTTTTCTTGTGGCTATTTCATCTCCTCACTCCTTTTCATGGACTTTTAATGTTGGGCAGACCCTTGGATGTCATCTGGTACATGTCCCACCCTCCCTGTGCAGGGTGGATGTGGGGTGGCTCCGGGGTGGGGAGGACCAGGGTGGGGGTGTGGCCTTGACCAGCTTTCCCTCAATCACAGGGGAAGAGGCTGCTGGGGGTGACAGGCTCATTCATGAGCGGGACCTGGCCTGGCTGCAGCAGGCAGACTGTAAGTGGCCCTCTCCTACCTGTGAACTCCTCTGGGGTGTTAGATTCCCCGAACATGCCTGGCCTCCCCACCTAGGACTCCCTAGAGCTCCCTCCTTACCACACTCACTGCCATCTTTCTCTTATAAGCCCAGATATTGAGGCTGTCTCATGTTTCTTCCCAGTGGTTGTGGCAGAAGTGACCCAGCCATCCTTGGGTGTAGGCTATGAGCTGGGCCGGGCCGTGGCTCTCAATAAGCGAATCTTGTGCCTGTTCCGCCCGCAGTCTGGTCGAGGTGAGCACTTCAAGCCCTGGATAGCCACTCCCTCCCTCCCAGCTTCCTGAGGACCCAGCCCTCAGCCCCCTTGGGGGGGGGGG